TTGGTCTCCCCAGTTCATAAAGGACAGGGATGTACTGGAGAGGGTCCAGCGGAGAGCTACAGGGATGATTAAGGGACTTGAACATCTCCTGTGAAGAAGGACTTGGAGGTCTGGGGCTGCTTAGTCTTGAAAAGAGAAGGCTGAGAGGGGATCTTATTAATGTCTATAAATACCCGAGCAGTGGGTGTCAGGAGGAAGGGGACAGGCTCTTTTTGGTGGTGCCCAGTAACAGGGCAAGGAATAATGGGTCTAAGCTAGAACATAGGAAGTTCCACCTCAACGTGAGGAGAAACTTCTTTGGTGTGAGGGTGCAGAGCCTGGAGCAGCTGCCCAGAGAGGCTGTGGAGTCTCCTGCTCTGGAGACTTTCCAACCTGCCTGGATGCCATCCTGTGCAGCCTGCCCTGGGTGCTCCTGCTTTGGCAGGGGGGTGGATGAAATGATCTCTGGAGGCCTCTTCCAACCCCTGACATTCTGTGATTCTCCAGCAGTTCCATCCCCATGTGCTGGAGTTTGTAATAGAGATTTAACTGGGTGGAAAGGAGCTGGGACATGTGATACCTCTGAGGAGACTGAGAGCTCAGGGAGGAGTTTCTTGATTTATTTCCTCAATTTCCTTTCCTTGGGGATCTACTATGTACCACAAGCAACCACAGAAGTGCCATCAGGCTCCACTCTTCTGAGCCAGGAGCCATCCCCATCAGCCAGACCCTACTGGCTGTGGCTTGGGCAGGGCTTCCTATGTGGCAAACTGGCTGTGTCTCCTTCTGCCACCCCACCTGAGCTCTCCTGGTAGAGGGACTGACTCTTTCTAGGACCACAGAATGTCCCTGCCTTAGAGCTAAGGGTTAGGGTGGAAACTGAGGCAGAGTTTGATCACCCTGGTCATAGGTGACCATTGAATCACCACGCTGTGGTTGCCCCAGGGAGGGGGCAGAGATGAATCCCATCTCAGGGCTCACTTCAGTTTGGCTTCAGGGGCAAGTGCAGCTCTGTGCCAACTCCTCCTGCTCTCTCCTAGGGTCGTCTTCTCAACCTGAGCTGCTCCACAGTTCCCACCTTCGTCCTCTCCATCACAGCCACCACTCAGGTCCGTGCGCTGCGGGGCCGGGGGGCTGAGGATGCTCTGGGGCCTCACGGGAGCCTCGGGGTGGGGAGGGTTTGGAAGGAGCTGGGCACACACAGTGAACGGGCCCTTGGCATGGCACTGGTGTCAGGGGGACTGTAGCCACCAGCTCTTGGCTGGGATGCAGCTGATGATGGCCTGAACTTACTGGTTTGAGCTGGGAGAGAGCTTTGAAATGAGCCAGGCTTCACAGCAGAGCTCCTGGACAGGTTTAAGCATGGCTCAAAACCAAGGCTTGGGTTGCTCTTCGGACTCTTTGGTTTCTACAGCATCAAACCCCTCCCTGGGGTGAGCTGTGAGGAGCTGGAGTCAGTGGAAATGCTCCCCAGCATCAGTGCTGGCTCAGCTGGGCGCCCACGGCTGGTGGCTCGTGCTGTTGGTGTAGCTCTGCCTGTCCAAAACAAAAACCAATGATTAAATTTGGCTCTGGCTGAGGGAAGAAACTCGCTGGGCTGGAAACACAGAGGGGACCAATGGCTGGGACTGTGCTGGGGGCAGGAAAACCATGGTAGCAGGGGGGAATCCTCACCCTCATCTGCCCACACCGGCGGGCACGGGGCTGTGTTTTGCACCTGCCTGAAGCAGCCCTCAGGGAGATGCAGTTTTGAGGAGTGGCCCTGGGATTTGGAGCAATGCCACCAGCATGGCACGAGCAATCCCTTTGTTTCCACATCATGCTGCAGCATGGTTTAAGAGTTAGAGCTTCTCCCATCTCCTCCAGCCTCGGGTTCTGCTTTTCCCCAGGGCATCGAGCCCAGATGCTGTGAACAAGCTGGGTGGGTTCTCCTCTCTGAGCCCTCTGTCCTCTCCCCATGGTGGTGGAGCTGTGGAGACCCAGAGGTGGATGTCCCTTTAGGTGGGATCTCCTCTCTGAACCCTCTGGTCCTCCCCCTGTGGTGGGGGGGTTATGGAGACCCAGAGATGGACGTACCCTTTGTTGAGAGCCTTTCCTTCAGGGTGTTTTGGAAATGGTTGCCCCTACTCCCTCAAGCTCCCAAGCTTTGCTGCTGAGAGCTTTGTGCTGTTGGGGTGTTTGGTGCTGCCCAGCTTGGTGGCCATCCCTGACTGTCCCTGAGCTGTCCCCTGTGATCTCTGCAGGCTCTGGCTCTGATTGAGCTTTACAACGCTCCCGAGGGCCGTTACAAACAGGACGTGTACCTGCTGCCCAAGAAGATGGGTGAGTGAAGGGAGCCCCAACTGAGCTTATCTGGAGGTTTAGGTTGGACCTGAGGAATGATTTGTTCCCTGCCAGGGTTGCCCAGGGCAGTGGTGGAGTCCCCACCCCTGGAGGGGTTTCCAAGCCGTGGAGATGTGGGGTGAGGGACACGGGGCAGTGGGGACCTGGCAGTGCTGGGGAAGGGTTGGACTCCAGGATCTTAAAGGTCTTTTCCAACTAAACGATCCCATGGTTCTATGATCCCCCAGGCTGCTGTAGAACAACAGGTTTGGACATAAAGAGAAACTCAAACCTAGGCTGAAAAAAACTTCCCGAGAGTGAATGAGTTCAGGGAAACCATCAGAGGCAGCAGCTCTCAGACCCCTGCAGGTTGGCTGATGTATCTTCCCTTTGCGTGGCAGAGGTCCCTGGTCCCTGGTCCCTCAATCTTCCTGCTGCCAGGGGGTTCAGGTGACCCTTGTGCCTTTTGGGGCACATCCAGCCCTGCTCAGCACCAAGGGCTTGGGCTCAGCTCTGCCGTAGGCTTCCATGGCAGCGAATCCGTGGGGTGCTGGCTGGCAAGGGGTGCCCCAACCCTTTTTTGTGCCACATGACAACTCCACGCCTCATCTCCCCAGCAGCGTGGCGGGGGACGTGCACCCCCTGAGCCCCTCTTTCCTCTCCCAGATGAGTATGTGGCCAGTTTGCATCTGCCTTCGTTCGACGCCCACCTGACCGAGCTGACGGACGACCAGGCCAAGTACCTGGGACTCAACAAAAATGGGCCTTTCAAACCCAACTACTACAGGTGAGCACCACCCGGGCTGGGAGCTGCCATCCCCTCACCCAGCAGGTGCTGGTGACACCTCTCCTTCCACCCAAACAGCATCGAGCTGTCCTCTCACCCCCTTACCATCCCCTCCCTTCTCTTCCAGATACTGACGGACCAGACCCACGAAGGACCAGACCACACAAGGCAACATTAGAGAGATTGTTTTTAAAGATCCTTTTTATTTTGGTTGACCTTTTTTTTTGTTTTCTTCCAACCGACAGAGGAACCCGTTTTTACAGTTATCAGCGTGATTTGAAGGTCACTTTTCTTTGGGTTATTTTCTCTCTCTCCCTTCGACGTGGTGACATCTCTGTCTGATCTTGGCAGACAACCTGGGATTTGCTTCTCGCTTTCATGTGGCTGAAGCCGCTGGTGGCTTCCAGCCCTGGCTCCCGGGGAGGGTTTCCCTTCCCTGCCATGCCCAGGGCACCTCATTCCTGCAGCAACGTGGGGGTTTTATTGTTTTTTTTTTCCCCCCCCCTCCCCTTTTTTGACCTTTCCAACCCGCGTCCGTCTCGGCCGGGATCCCTGCAGACACGGAGATGATATTCTACCTTCTCTTCTGGTTTCTTTCTTTGTGTGGATTATCTGCAACTTCTAAATTGCCTTAAAGAGCCCAGTTTTAGCTGCTAGAGCCCCTGCTCCCGGCGCTGGTGGGAGCAGAGTGGCGCCTGCTGGCCACCTCGTGAACAGGGCGCTGGCCCCGAGGTTGGCCCAGGTTCGGTGGCCGCTGGCCCGGGTTTGGTGGCCAGCTGGGGCTGGGGGGAGGTCACTGTTTCAGGGTGCTAATCTGAATTCGGACGGGGGTCGCTTACCCAGCATTATCCTCATCTCTCCCAGGGTTTGGGGTTTTTTTCCTTCTTTTTTTTAATTCCCTTTTTTCTTTTTTTTTCTTTTTTCCTTTTTATTTTTTCCTTCTTTTTTCCCTTCTTTTTATTTTCCTTCTTTTTTTCCCTTTTTTCCCTTCTTTTTTCCTTTTTTCCCTTCTTTTTTCCTTTTTTCCCTTCTTTTTTCCTTTTTCCCTTCTTTTTTCCTTTTTTCCCTTCTTTTTTCCTTTTTCCCTTCTTTTTCCCTTTTTCCCTTTTTCCCTTTTTCCCTTTTTCCCTTTTTCCCTTTTTCCCTTTTTTCTCTCTTTTTCATTC